CTGTGTCAGTTTGGCTTTTCATCTCTGCTTGGGAACTGAGGTTTTTGAAAGAGAAATAAATGAGTCCTTAGAGTGTACCCTTCTCACAGCACCCTTTCCCACTGCCTGTGTCCTTCTGACAGTCTTCAAAGGCATCAAGAAATGAGGGGCCCTGATAAGCTCTAAGATAAATTGCTTTCAGACTATCATAGATTAAAAGAAAAATCAAATAGCAAGGGCTCAGGAGAGATCACTGTAAACTCCTTCAAAGCCCTTCTGAATGCCTCCATCAGCTCTGACAACGCCCAGGCAGCAGTGGGTGGTGACAGCCCCCTGCAGAATGTGTGCGGCATGTGCCCAGGGCATCTTTCAGAAGGGCATGTGAGCATGAGTTCATCTGCAAGATCTAGGAGTGATGGAGTGACCTATAAGGTCAAGGGCATGGGAGGACAGTGACAAGCCTGGACTCTGTGATATAGCCTGGGCGGAAGTCTGTGGCATTAGCTGAGCAGAAAGCTAGGACCGTTTCATGGGAGCTGCCTGGACCCCTTAGGCATCTGGGCATGGCAGGCCTTGCTTGGAACCCAGATGCTTGGTGGGAAGTGCATCCAGACTGGTTTTTCAGAAGGTCTTCCATTTCATTTTTGGTTTTGAATATCAAGTACATGTTACTTGGGCTTCCCAGGTGGCACCTGCCAACGCAGGAAACACAGGTTCAATCCTGGGTTTGGGAAGATTGCCTGGCAACCCACTCCAGTATTCTGGCCTGGGAAATTACATGGACAGAGGAGCCTGGCGGGCTATAGTCCATGGGGTTGCAAAGAGTCAGACACGACTGAGCGACTGAGTAAGACAACAGCACACTTTTCTTAAGTGAGTTTCAGGAACCCCAGCCTCAGGAGACGTTCTGCAGTAGTAGCAGTCCACAAAAGAATTTGGAGGAATGGTCACTCAGAGGCCCCCTTGGGACTTCCCAGCGTGCAGTAGCCCATAAGAAGGTCTGTTAGCTGAGTCTGAGTTGCATTAATGGCAAAACTAAAACCACAGCAGCAAAGTCTTTCAGATTTATTGGGCTCTCGTTACAGGCTAAGCTCTGTTCTGAGCACATAGTGTGTGTTTTCTCTTGATAAACCTTTTTAGAGCAGTTTTAGATGCATTGCAAAACTAAACAGAAAGTACAGAGATTTCCCCATATACCCGCTGTCCCCCCACAGGCACAGCCTCCCCTCTTCTGACATCCGGTATCTTAACGCTTTGCCTTTACTACAGTTGATGAACCTGCATTGACACATGGAGTAACGCCCAGAGTCCATAGTTTACGTTAAGGCCCAGTCTGGGTGCTACACATTTTTGGCATTTCGACCAATGTGGAATGATGGACATACCTTATGAGAGTGTCATGCAGAGAAGTTTCACTCCCCTAAAACTCCTCCTTGCTGCTCCTCCTCATTCCTCTCTCCATCTGCCCCCTGGCTACCACGGATCCCTTTACTGTCCCCATCGTTCTACCATTTTCAGAATGTCTTCTACCTGGAGTCATAGAATATGTAGCCTTTTCACACTGGCCTTTCTTTTCTTGTAGTTATGCATTTAAGTTTCTTTATTTAAAAAAAAATTTTTTTCGTTTATTTTTATTAGTTGGAGGCTAATTACTTTACAGTATTGTAGTGATTTTTGCCATACATTGACAAGAATCAGCCATGGATTTACATGTGTTCCCCATCCCGATCCCCCCTCCCGCCTCCCTCCCCATCCCATTCCTCTGGGTCTTCCCAGTGCACCAGGCCTGAGCACTTGTCTCATGCATCCAACCTGGGCTGGCGATCTGTTTCACCCTTGATAGTATACTTGTTTCAGTGCTATTCTCTCAGAACATCCCACCCTCATCTTCTCCCACAGAGTCCAAAAGTGCATTTAAGTTTCTTATACATCTTTTCAAGACTTCATAGCTCATTTTTTTCTTAGAGCTGAATAACAGTCCATTGTTGGGATGTACCACCGTTAGTCCATTCACATACGGAAGAACATCTTGGTTGCTTCTAAGTTTTGTCAGTTATGAGTAAAGCTGCTTCATCCGTGTGTAGGTTTTTGTGTGGACATGAGTTTTCAGCTCATTAGGGTAAAAAACAAGAAGTGCAATTGTTGAATCTTATGATAACAGTGTTTTAGTTTTGAGAGAAACTGCCAAATTGTCTTCCAAGATGGCTGTATCATTTTGCATTCCCATCCGGAACTAATTAGAGTTCCCACTGCTCCGCATCCTCACCAGCGCTTGATGTTGTCAGTGTTCTAGATTTGGACCATTCTGTAGGTGTGTCATGGTGCCTTGTTTTGCGTTGGATTTCTCTGTTGACAAATGATATGGAACGTCTTTTCACGTGCTTACTTGGCATTTGTATATCCTCTCTGGTGGGGTGTCTGTTCAGGTCTTTGGCCAGTTTTACCTGATGTGTCCTTTGAAAACATTCTCTCTCAGAATGTGGCTTATTCTTTCAGTGTCTTTCACTGTTTATCAGTTCTTTTTTCTTTTCTCATGAATAATGCCTTGGGTGTTGGATCTAAAAAATCGTTACCATACCCCAGGTCATCCAGGTTTTTTTCTGTGTCTTCTAGGAGTTTTATAGTTTTGTATTTTGCTTCTAGATCTGTGATCCAATATGAGTTAATATTTGTGAAAAGGTGTAAAGTTTTTGTCCAGGTTCACTTTCTTCTTTTGCACATGGCTGCCCAGTTTTAGCATCATGCTGAGATAACTGTCTTTGTTCCACTGTGTAGTATTTGCTTGTGTGTCAAAGATTAATTGACTGTATTTAAAAGAGTTTATTTCTGGACTCTGTTCTGTACCATTGGGTCTATTTGACTCTTATTTCACCAATATCACATGCTCTTCATCACTGTAGCTTTATAGTCAGTTTAGAAGTTGAGTAATGTCAGTCCTCTGACTTTGTTATTTTCCTCTATCATTTTGTGTAGGCTTCTGGGTCTTTTGCATCTCCTTATAAACTTCATAATCAGTTAATCAATACCCACAAAATAACTTGCTGAGATTTTGATTGAAATTACATTGAATCTACTCATCAGATTGGGAAGAACTGTTGTCCAGACAACATTGAATCTTCCTATCCTTGAGCTTGGAATAGCTCTCCATTTATTTAGTGCTTTGATTCCTTTCATCAGTTTTGAAGTTTTCCTCATATAGACCTTATACATATTTTGTTAGATTTATTTATACCTATTCATTGTAAATAATGGTATTTATTTGTACCATTTCATTTTTTGTGTGCTAATGTAAATAGTTCTGTGTTTTTAATTTCAAATTTCACTTGTTCATTGCTAGTATATAGAGAAGCAACTGACTTTTGTATATTAAACTTATAATTTGCCATAATTGCTTATTAGCTCCAGGAGTATCTTTGTCTATTCTTTTAGAATTTCTTCTTAGGTGATCATGTCATCTTCTTTCTCATTCTCTATATCTTTCATTTCCTTTTCTTGTCTTATTGCATTAGCTAAGGCTTCAAATATGATGTTAAAAAGGAGTGCTGGGAGGGGGCATCCTTGCTGTGTTTCTAATCTTAGTGGGAAAGTTTCTGGTTTCTCACCATTAAGTAATGTTAGCTATAGGTTGTTTGTGGATTTTCTCTATTGAGTTGAGGAAGTTCCTCTCTATTCCTGGGTTATTGAAATTGCTTATCATGGGTAGGTATTTGATTTTGCCACATTAATTTTCTGCCTCTATTGATGTTATCATGTGACTTTTATTTCTTAACCTGTTGATGTGATGGATTATATTAATTAATTTTAGAATGTTGAATCAAATGAGATAAATCCAACTTGGTTGTGATTACAGTTTTTTTTTAAACATTTTGGGTTTTATGTGCTGATATTTTGTTGAGGATATTTGTATCTGTGTTCTCGAGAGATACTGGTTTGTCATTTTTTTTCCCTTTGGCTGGGCTTGGGTATTTTCTTTCTCCCATGAAGACATGGCATTCTCCCTCTTGCAGTCTCTGTCTAAATTTTCCCTTCTCCTAAGAACACTAGTCATATTGGATGAGGGCCTGCAACCTCATCTTAACTGATTACATCTGTAATGACCACGTTTCTAAATAAGGTCACACAGAGATGCTGCGGGATTAGGAGTTCAACATGTGAATTTGTAGGGGACAGAATTTAACCCATAACATCCGCTGTCTGAAAAGTTTTCACGGGAAATGGCATTAAAGTGACCATTAAAGTGAGAGGAAACATGGATGAGCTATACAGAGCTTTCATTCACCAAAGCTTCTGCCCAACTGAGGATGTGGCACCGCAGGCAGGCGGGTAGGTGACAGTGCAGAGTGGATGCCTTCCCTGCGGCCTGGATGGGACGTGGCCCGGGGGTGGTCAGGGCCTGAGGTGGGCACCTGTATGCTCGAGTTCCAACGCCGGCTCTTCCTCAGAGTCCTGGGGCTCGTCGCCCTGGGCCTTGGTTTCTTAATCTGTAACAGTGTAATAATGCCTGTCCTTCAAGAGCGGCTGTGAGTCTGATTAAAATAACTCACATGCACACACGTCTTGAGCACTGGAGGGTGATATGTTCATCGGGTCTTGGAGATCTAATGTACCGCATGGGCCCATAATCAACAGTATGTACTGTATACCTAAGATTTGCTAGACGGCAGATCTTAAAGTGTTCTTGTCGCACACATGATAATGTTGATAAAGGAGGGAACTTTGGGAGATGATGGAAATGTTAACTTTGGGAGATGATGGTCTCCGTTGTAGACCCTGAGGCTGAGCTCTGCTCTCCACTGGCCCAGCCGCATCCACAGGACTGTTATTTCTAAGGTCAGTCTCTCCCTCATGAAAGGGAGGCGAGGCCACTGCCCTGCTGCCCTCGAGTCTCTGGGCCATGCAGGGCGAGCCGCGGGCGCTGGGAAAGGTGTCTGTGTGTCTCACTGTGGTGGTGGTGGTGGTATTTCCCACAGGCCCTGGGTTTAAATGAGACAGTCCATTGATTATGCTCTCTTTCTGTTAAGGACAAAAGGAGTTATTCTTGTCCTGTGTGTGAAAAGTCTTTTTCAGAAGATCGATTGATAAAGTCACATATCAAGACCAACCATCCCGGTAAGGTTATGCATCTCAGAGTGGGAGACCGATTTTAAAAATGCTCATGTTTATTTTAAGATACAGCATTGTATAGCAGCTTGTTAAATGAAACTAAAAGAGAGATGAAGATATGAGTCAATTCAAGGGGAAGAGTTATCTTTACTTAAAGCTCAGGTGTTTATATAACAATTTGCTTTATTTTATCATTTTATCTAGTCTTCAGAGGCCTCTGGCCCCAGTCTCATGGCTGTCCTCCCCTTTGTAAAACTGTGCTGCCTGCCCAGGTGGCGCTAGTGGTAAAGCTCCTGCCTGCCAATGCAGGAGACTTAAGAGACCTAAGAGATATTTGATCCCTGGGTCAGGAAGACCCCCTGGAGAAGGAAATGGCCACCCACCCCAGTATTCTTGCCTGGAGAGTCCCATGGACAGAGGAGCCCGGCGGGCCACAGTCCATCGATTCCCAAAAGAGTTGGGCACAATTTAGCGACTCTACAACAGCAACAACCAGTTGACAGAGACTTTCTTTTTTGCAGTTGGGTTGTTTGAGTGAAGTGGCCGTGTTGCCTGAGTCCCTGTGTTCTACAGCACACCCCCACCCCAGGACGCTGATTCGCTGGGGAAGCCCAGTCTTTCCCCTTAGTTCCCATGTTCTGCTTTTGTCCGACTTGCCTTGCCATACTGCTTCTCGACCCCTCACACTTTGGGTTAGCAGGAGTCTAGGTCTGAGCGACTCACTCTGATTCTGGTGTAACTTTTTAGGCAGAAGTTCTCTCCCATGACCCCACGAGGTACAACTTACCTTGCTGCCTCAGAGCTGCCAGGATTGACTGCGCGGCGGTGGGGTGGGGTGGGGTCCAGGCTCTGTCATGAGGCCCACTTAACCTCTCACTGGAACCACGGTTCTTTGGCCGCTTCTGGTTGTCATCCGCTTTTCTTCTAGAGGTTTCCATGAGCACCATCTCCGAGGTTCTCGGGAGGAGGGTCCAGCTAAAAGGGCTCATTGGCAAGAGAGCCATGAAGTGCCCGTACTGTGATTTCTATTTCATGAAGAACGGCTCAGACCTTCAGCGTCACATCTGGGCTCATGAAGGTGCGTGTCCCTCTGTCAGAATGGAGCGTGTGTGTGCTTCTGTGCCGCCTATGGGAGTTCTTGGGGCTTCCTGGTGGCTCAAACGGTAAAGAATCCGCCTGCAACGTGGGAGACCCGGGTTTGATCCTTGGGTTTGGTAGATTCCCCAGGAGAAGGAAATGGTAATCTACTCCAGTATTCTTGCCTGGGAAATCTCATGGACAGAGGAGCCTGGTGGGCTACAGTCCCATGGGGTCGCAAAGAGTCAGACACCGTTGAGTGATTAGCACTTTCACTTGGGATTCTTTAGGAGGAAGCCATGTCCACACGCCCTGCAGCTAGAATTCTCTTTACCTACTGCAAAAGTGTGTCTGCCAGCCAGCTGAGACCAGTGGTTTCAGCTGTGCATGACTCAGTCGCAGGGAGCAGAGGTGTGCAGTCTTCACGGCCTGCTTGGAGCTGTAGTTGAGCAAGTCACCACGATTCCTGTGCAGGAAGTGAGCTTCAGGAGAGCAGGAACCAACGCGCCGGCCCGGTCCTAGGGGTGACCCTGGTGGTTGCCCCGGTGCCCTGCGTGTGGTGGCATTGAGGAGGTGCTGGGGTACTGGACGAAGGAAGGCCCCGAGGACAGCAGATCCTCCGATTCCGGCGGGCGGGGAAGGCCTGGGTGGAGACCAGGCAGGGGGAGGAGGGCGGCAGCCTGTGCCCCAGGGTGCTCGCCTGTGCTGGGAGGCGTGGGCCGCACACGGGCACTCGGGGCAGCTGATGGTCGGGGTCTGTCAGAGACAGTGGGGCTGGACTTCTGCCCCTGGGAGGGGACGTGCCTTCCCAGCGAGGAGGCTCGGAGCCCTGCGGCTGGGGGGCGGCCTTCCTATGAGTTGGGAACTCACAGTGCTGCAGTCAGGATGACAGGACAGCTCCCCAGGGGCACGAATGAAGTATTTTCTACAATCTGTGATCAAATGAATGGTTCAGTAAAGAGAGCAGTAACTGATGGACACGGCGGAAGGAGCTGAGACCAAAGCCAAGGTTGGGAGATACTTTTTTGTGGGCCCTGGCGGATAGTCGGGGAGCGGAAGAGGACGGGCCCAGTGGTAAGGATGCCCCGGCAGTGGGGCCGTCAGCCCCGCAGCAGCGCCGGGCGTGGTGAACTCCGCTCACCTTATGAGCTGAGACACGTGGTCCTGCGCACCCGGGCCTGGCGACTTTTGCCAAGGCCCTTGGTTAGCGCTTGTCAGTGTAACTCAGTTCAGTGGGATGAACAGCCGCTGCTGCACGTGCTGAGCGTCTGGGCCCTTGGAGATCCCAGACTGTGGGGAGCGGCTGTAAGGGACTCACTGTAAAGTGCAGTGGATGGTGCAGCGGTCATGACAGGGGGTTCGGGGCCACTGATGGGGAGGTGAGGAGGAACTCTGCTGCAGGGCATCCTCCTTCCTGGAAGGAGGAATGTAATAGCATTGGAAGGAGCAGCATGGGTCAGAGAGGCCTGGGGGAGTGTGTGGCGTCTGCACTGCCTTATTCACAGTGGACAAGAGGGTGTGTGTGTGTAGACATGTGCGTGTGTGCATTCCTTCAGATACACACACGTATACATGAGTACCTATGTTCATCTCTCTGTTTTTTCCTCCTCTGACAGGTGTAAAGCCCTTCAAGTGTTCCTTGTGTGAGTACGCAACTCGTAGCAAGAGCAACCTCAAGGCTCACATGAATCGTCACAGCACTGAGAAGACCCACCTGTGTGACATGTGTGGCAAGAAGTTCAAGTCCAAAGGGACACTGAAAAGCCACAAGCTCCTTCACACCGCTGATGGTGAGTGAGTGACTACAGCAAGCTTTTTCTCCTAGGAGTGCGGTTTGAGGTGGGCCTTCCACGTCCAGCCTGCGCCGTGGTTGTGCGTGGAGCAGGGGGCAGCCCGGGTCTGGAATTTCTCTTCTGAAGGAGGGCAGAGTGACCCCGCCTGCTTCCTCAGTGCCCGGGGCTCTGTGCTGACCCCACCTGTGCTTACTGGACACTTGCTGCACGTGTGTGTGTGTGTGTAAGCACGTGCATGCATTTGTGGGGGGTGGGCGTGGTGGGGACTCTGCCCCAGGGAATAAGGCATCCTCAGGAGACCTTGATCTGGAAGTTTCAGTCCTGCTCATCCCTCCCTCCCCGCCCGAGCCTGATGACCTTGAGGAGCTGCATGACAAACCTGCTGTGTGTCCCAGTCACCAGGAAAGTCATCCGGCAAGGAGCCAGAGAGACAGACAAAGGCAGAACTGCACAGTTGTTTTAGGAAGACAGGCAGCTATACAGTAAAAGCGCTATCACATTTAAAATTCTCCTTTAAACCACAGTCGTATGAGGGTCTTCTCAATATTCCATGTAATGAGATTAATAAACTGTACCAACGAAATATTATTTTAGCACAATTACGTACAAAAATTGGAGTCTGCTGTAAAAACTGAAGTGGTTTCAATGGAGATTTTTATTTTAGCACATAGAGGATGCTCCTGCTGGTCTGTTCTGCCTTTAATTTGAGGTGGTTCTGGGGGGTCTGTTGTATGTGCTGTCAGTGAGGCCGGCCCGAAAAGCTGAGCGCTTAGCCTGGAATCCATCGGAACTTAGGATCAGGTTTGCCTCGGGCTGCACCAAAGCCAGAGCCCTGCTATTCATTCAGACTCAAGCAGTGTGCTGTAAATTAATAAATCCGTAATCAAAATAATTAAAAATACAATGACAGTAAATCTGTCGTATCCTGAGTAATGGAAGCAGTAAGTCGTGTAATTATTCATGAATTCTCACACCTCCGCCAGCAATAAGCCTCACTGATGTTTCTTGACAGGGCAAGCAGATTACTCCCTGAAGTCCCCAGTGACACCCCGGTTACGAGACGCGGCGAGTCCCCCGGAGCCAGGGAGGTCTGGCGTGTCCCTGGGCCACTGGGGTGGGGTCTGCGGGCCGGGAGGGGTGCCGCGATCTCTGCCTGGCCCCGAGCCCGGCTCGGCCCTGAAGGGTGTTGAGACAGTGGCACTCACGTCTGATGGGGCACCGCGGACAGGCCGTCGGGGTCTTGAGGGGGTGGGATCAGCGTGAACAGCCATGTCCCAGCCAGCATCCTCAGGACACTCAGCCCATCCCTCCTGTCTCCCCGCCGGCTTCCCCGAGTTTGTCGGCAGGGAGAGGAATTCAGGTGGACAGAGATGTTTTTCTCATTTAATTGTTTCTCTGGGTAAGCTAGGGAGCCTCATGAGCTGTTTGGCAACTTCTGAAGCAGGCTTTGAATCCTCGGGGAAGTGTGCTCACATAGGGCCTGGCTACCTTGATGAGGCACCCAGCCTGTAGCCGTAGGGTTCCCGCTTCACTTTGAGCCACGCGTGCCTTCAGAGCTGGCCTGAAGGGGTTCGGTTTTCAATGCAGCTGTTGTGGCAGTGATAATTGCGTAGGTTGTTCCAGAGAAGCCACGTTGGAGCAGATGGAGCTGGAGAGGCGTCAGTCTTGCCCGCCTCCACCTGGTACGGTGACCTCTCTGCGCCTCGGTTTCCTGCTAGTGAAGTGGGGATGGTTGCGCCTCCCCTTCTACTGGGTGTGACGGTGAGCTGTAAACGATGCCCTGCTCCTCGCCCAGGCCTCCTCCTTGCAGTCCCCCACTCAGTCTCCTTCCTGGTGCCTCCTCAGCCCCGATCTCCACACCGAGGACCCTTCTTTCTACAGCTGCCCCCTCAGCGGTCCTGTCTGCTGCGTGGCCTTAAACACAATTTTTAAACAGTTATTTTTCGCCGCGCGGGGTCTTTGTTCCTGTTAAGCACTTTCTCCAATTGTACCGAGTGGGAGCTACTCTCTAGTTGCAACTCACAGGCTCTTGGGCTCGGGCTCAAGGGTTGTGGAGCTCAGGCTTGGTTGCTCCTTGACAGTTGGGGTCTTCCTGGACCAGGGATCAAACCCCTGTCCCTTGCACTGGCAGGCGGGTTCTTATCCATTGTACCATCAGGGAAGTCCTTGGATCTCTTTTAATGAAGTAAAAAGGAACTGAGTAATTATCCTCTCCTTTACCTGCTTGTGAATCTTAATTTTTCACGTGTGTTGGCTTCTTTAAAGTGATCTAGCCTTGTTTATTCATTCCTATTTCCCAAAGGAGCTCATTACTGTGCCTTAGAAGTGATAGACAGAATGGATGACGGTTTCAGTTAAAAAGATTTTCCAATCAAGGTGTACAAAGAGAGAGATTAATTCATAAAGGGCCCGATTAAACCCTTTGCATGTAAGCCAACAGGTACCAGAACTTAATGCAGAAATCGTGCCAGTAACACATCTCCCCACTTTTGACTTTAAAGAGGGTCTGGACACATGTTATGTGGTCTAGAGGTTTGTACATCATTCTGCCCGCCCAGAACAGATGGGAAAGGTTCAGTGGTGCAGTGCCTTTATGTTATGTAATCAAACAGGAATTCTCTAATCATGAAATGAAAAGCTCTTTGAAGTTCAATGCTAATTCCTTTGGGTCCCCTTCTTCCCCCAATCCAACCTTCCCTCTTACACTGGAGATGAAGAAGTTTCCTGGTAAAATTTGCAAAGAGGAATTACCCAAGCTTCAAACACTCTTGTGTGTGTAGTAATTGGACAAGTGGAGAGTTGAATATGGAAATGAGGTCTGAGCGGAGGAAGTACCACTTTTCCCCATGATTCTTCAATTTATAATAAGAGATCCCATGGCTGCACATTGAAATATTCTCGGAGATTTAAGTCCGGAGTTTTTTCAAGGTCCTCTTTCCCCTGAAAAACACAGTCACTCTAGGGTAAAGTAGCCCCACTTATCTGTGTCCTCTTTACTTCAAAGAAGATGCACTCTAAAACAAGAAGTTAAAAGAAGATGGTACTTGAGCAGCCATTTGGGTAACTTAGCAAGTCCACTGACTAGGCTGCAGTGAGCCTGGCCTCTCCGAAGCATCCTTCTCCCGCTCTTCCTCTGACTTCCTGCTAGAGGGAAGGTCAAGGGTCACAGGTGGGAGTGGGGCAACAACGTGAACACAGTGGTCTTTTTCTGTGACTTGTCTTCACGGGCTGGGTCCTGGTGATGGGCAGGAGAGGGGAGGGCTGACTCCAGTATCCAGGACTCCCACTTCTCTGCACTCTGCCTGGGGCTGATGAAGCTCTTTTTCTGAGGTTTTTTATAAACCATAAGAGTAACTGAGCTCATACTCTAAAATGAACCGCTGAGCTGACTGAACAGTTAGCTTAGATGAACACACAGATTTAACTGTTGAGTTAGGCTTGGTTACCTATAGTCTCACCTGGGCAGAGGAGACACAGCTGCAAATACCTGGCGCAGCATCTCGAATTTAATCCAGGTCTGGTGCCGTGTTCTTCCCTGGTCTTGTATTGCGCTCTGCCTTCTGTTTCTCTCCCTGTCTAGTGCTGATCCTTTCCTCCTGGTATCAGAACCGATGTACTAATTACAGAGACTCATCCATCCCTCACTATGGTTGCTTCAAGTTCAGCTGCTAAAGCACAGAGACTTCTTCAACGGCCTTTTTATTGCTGTAGCTATTTCTGTTCTGAGTTGCCATTGGACAAATTACCACAGATGCCAGAACTGGAAATACGCGTTTCACTTTGCACAGTGCCTGCTGCAATGCCTCCTACAGGGTGCATTTCTCACTTGAGGGGGCTGACCCGTGCGTGCCAGGCTGTGTGGAGAGGCAGCGCGGCAGAGGCGGTGAGACCTTGGGCCCCCGAGGGCAGTCCCAGGTCGGAACCACTTCCTGCCTGAGTGCCCTTGAGCAGGTGCCTCGTCATCCCTGTTTGTAACTTGGGGTCGATGACGATTCCCATGCGTGCGGGTGCATTCATTTCCCATGGCTGCCGTAACAGACCGCCACACATGTAGTGGCTTCAAACAGGTTTACCGTGTGACAGCTCTGGAGGTTGGAAGTCTAAAATTGAGGTGTCAGCAGGACCGCTTTTCTTCTGGAGACCCCCGGGGAGAATCTGTTCCTTTAAACTCTCTGGCCTCTAGAGGCTGCTTGCATCCCTTGGTTTGTGAGCCCCTCCTTCATCTCAGCCAGCACGTAGGTCTCACTCCCTCTCTCTCTGTGCTTCTGTCGCCACGTCTCCTCTGAGTCTGACTCCCCCCAACCCCCCAATAAGGACCCTCGTGGTTTCATTGGGCCCACCTGTATAATCCAGAATCATCCCCTAACTCAGGATTTTTAACTTGATCCCATCTGCAAAATCCCTTCTGTGTATAAGGTGATGTTTACAGGCTCTGATCCACTTGCGAGTGCAGGAGAGGCAGGTTTGATTCCTGGGCGGGTTAGATCTGCTGGAGAAGGACATGGCAAGCCACTCCAGTATTCTTGCCTGGGAAATCCCATGGACAGAGGAGCCTGGCCGGCTACAGCCCACAGGGTCGCGAAAGTGTCAGACAGAAGTTAGCCACTAAGCAGCGATTCTGGGGGGAGGGCATGATTGCCTTGGCTCAGTGGGCTGTGGGGAGGTTGGCCGGGTCCCCACACGCCGAGGCAGCTGATGCTCAGTGCTGGGTGTGTGCACCTGCTCTCGGTGATCACTATCCCCTCGTGCCCAGCCCCCTCAACACAGGGTGGGCCTGCACCCAGGGGGCACCTCCGCACAGGCAAATAGATCTTTGTGGTGATTAGTCTGTATCACCTGTTTCATTTACTAAAAATCAAATTCCTTTTCTCTCAAATATTCCTTCACTAGGAAGGCACAGTGCAATAGTTAATATTTGAAGAGTATCAGTTTTTAAAAGGGTAAAGGCAGTTTTCTGGAAAATTTGCTTATGCAAAATACCACCTTTTTCAGTAAGA